GGGTATTTTGTCTCAGCAACGAGAGAAAAGTAACCAAGATAGTGAGGTTGACCTAAGAAATCTGTACTAGAAGAAATAGAGGCACAGACAAAACTCTCCACAGCCCAAGGTCTACTCCTAAAACAGACAGGAGCCACTAACGGAGAAACCAGCTTTCAAAATGTAAACTAGTGCAACCACTGTGGAAATCAGTATGGAGATGCCTCAAAAAACTGAGACTAGAAATTTCATTTGACCCAGCTATTCCCCTTGAAGGTATCTTCCCAAACAAGTTAAAGACATCATATTACAGTGACCCATGCACACCCATGTGTATAGCAGCACAATTCCATAGTTAAATTATGGAAGCAACCATCGTCAGCAGATGAATGGATAAAGAAACTGTGGTATGTACTCACAAGGAAGTACTACTTGGCCATTAAAAAGGATAAACCTGAGTCATTTGTAAGAAATGCATGCATCTGGAGACCACAGTCTTAAATAAATCAGACACACAAGTTTAAATATCACATGAGAAACCCAACAGGTAGATAAAGAGCAAAATAAAAGATAATAGGAAGTAGAGACACAGATCTTCCTCAAATGGGAAGGAGATCAAGAGAAAAAGGAGAGGGGAAGAAGGTAACAGGGAAAGGGTGAAAAAGGAATTAAGATGTGTTGTGCACATGCACCAGCTCCTTGTGGGTGATATAAACATTATCTACTATAAACATGTACCAAGAAGAAAATAAATGAAACCAAATTGGATTGCATGCATAGCACTTTAAAAAATCAAGTATAGACATTGCACATGAGCTAATTCAGCTTGCTGAAAAGAATTCTGATGAAATAAAAAGTTTTAAATTGGGTATATTTTAGTAGTGTAGAAAAGGTTGATAAAGCACTTAACTGCATCACAGGTTTTCAATGAAATACAGCATTGGTAGCATATTGCTGATTGAAATATTTAAGAAGTATCCTCTTTTTTTGAGATGGGGTCTCGTGTGTAGTTCAGGGTGGGCTTAAACTCATTATGTAGCCCAGGGTAGCCATGAACTCACAGTGATCATCCTGCCTCAGCCTCCCAAGTGCTGGGATGATAGGTACGGGCCACCACGCCTGCCTTGAGGCTGCTTCATCCTTACACTCCTCTTTCTGGCTTGGATGGGGGCAGCTGTGGCTTCTTATGCTTTATGCTTCTGTTTGTCTTAATTCTTTCCATTGAAAGGAAGCACTGTGTACTAGGAAATGAATAGCGCTCAAAAAGCCTGGCTCTTCAGAGTTGCATGGAGAGAGGCAGCAGGGGAGAGGGTAAACTGAGGCCCCTCTTGTGCAAGGGACAGGCTACACCTGGGGAGGCCCAGCCAGGTGCTTTCTGCAGAGAATACCTGGATGACAGAAATCCTGGGACTGGTTGTGGGGTCATTTAAACTGCAGTTTAAATCAGCACAAAAATATAAACTCAGTCTGTTGGAAAACTGCCATGCACAAGGGCCTTTCCTCTCAGGTAAAACCTTCCTGAGAAGCTTTTGTCCCAGCAAGGGGGCATCTCCATGCAGTCAAAGTATTCAGCACCACTGAACCTGCGCCCCCAGAGCCGACACCACCCAGGCATGGGAGCGATCGCACCACCTTCACTGCCTACAGCATCACCCAATGTGTTGCACAGAACTCCAAGCCTGAGGTGTCTGGGACTCGGGTCATCTCTACCTGGCTTTGGAACAGGAAGCAGCTGTGTCACTGGCCATGCTCAGAGGAGCACAGTCTGTCTGTGTGTGAGAAGCAGTCGAGGAACTCAGGACTTACCATCTGCAGATCACCATCCAGGTGACGCCCGCCAAGACGCCAACCAGCAGTGCCCCCAGCACGAGGGAGACCCAGGATGCCCGTGGGAGCCTGCCTGAGTCTGGCACAGGAGGAGACAGTGAGTGGGGTGACCCGGGTTCACCGAGGCAGGGAGGGTCATCCCTCTGCCCAGGAAGCCGTGTGAGCACAAGGTCCAGCCCTGGGCTCGGTAGGAAGCAAGGGCAGGCAGGTGGGCAAGGTGACCCTGAACAGGTGGGGTCTCTGGTTACCAGCTGCACAGCTGTGGAGCAGAGGCAGGAGAGTCCTTCCAGGCCCAGCCAGGCAGGGCACAGAGCACCCTGCATGAGACCCACCCCAGGGCACCTGGGCCCCCAAAAGACTGGGGTCCAGAAACTGGGCCAGGCCTGCCATTGTCCTAAAGGAGGGTGCTGAGCACCCAGGTCATCTGGGACAGACAGAGACAATAGCAGACAGTGAAGCAGGAGGCCTGTCCTGCTTCCCAGCCACAGGGAACACTGTGTCCTCCCTCAGGACCCAGCTGACAGCTGCTTTACAGAAACCACCAGCAGACGGGGAGGAAGCACTCACCTATGCAGGTCCTGGCATCCTCGGCCAGCACGTAGGGGTCGGCGCACAGACACTGGAAGCTGCCCTTGGTGTTCCTGCAGCGTGCAGAGGGGTGGCAGGGTGCACGCACTGGGTCTGCACACTCGTCCACATCTGCAGAGACAGTGGAGGCTGGGCACAGGGAGCCCTGCCAGGTACCCACAGGAGAAGGGACCCCGCCTTCCCAGCCGTGCAGCTGCCTCTGGCTCCGGTGGTGAGGGGGAATCCACGGATACGGAATCCAGAACCCTCAGATGCCTGGAAGTGCTGCCCCAAACCCCACCGGCTCCAAAAGATCAGGGCCCCCATCCCACCCACCACACTGACCCCACTGCCCGGCCTCCATCTCTGGGAAAGCAGCCCCGAGCTGGTTCTGACCAGAGGCCTGAAGTCCTTTGCCTTTCCTGCCTTGGGATGTAGGAGCCCCGGCAGCTAGCACTGGATGAATTCCACCAGAATTGACCGGATTCACTTCCGTCCACACTGCATCGGGGTGCTGTGACTCATCAGGGCACCAGTGGCCATCTAACCCCGGCGGGCTCAGATTCACCCCCCTGTATGTTTGTGTGGCCACCATGACAAATCACGGCAAACTGGTGGCTTGAACATAGGTACTTCTTCCCCTCAGCTCTGGATGCCAGAAGTGAGAAATCAAAGTGTGAGCAGGAGGACGTTTCGTCCAATGGCTGGAGGCGCCCCCTCACCCATTCCAGCATCAGGGCTCACTGTCCTTGCAGACATCCTTGCACTGCCACTGTGCCTCTGGGTCCCTCTCCTCATCTCAGAAGGATGCAGGGCTCTGGATTAGGGCCACCCTGAGGACTGCGTTGCAGCCAGATGACGTCTGTAATTAGTCACCGTCTGCTGTACCAGGAGTCTAGGCTTGAACCCGCCCTTTGTGGGTCACAGTCCAGCCATGGTGCTCTATCTGTGACCCATTTATTCCCATGAGGAGCCTGTGTCAGGGATCAGCACACTCCAGTCTCCTCGCCCAGGGCTGCACTGAGGCACAGGTGACAAGTCCACCCCGGCTGGGTGACAACGCGCTCACAGATGAGCAGGAACCCAGTCTGGGGCTGGCAGTGTCCACATGCTGCTGGTTGGTCTATACAGAGGGAGGCTCTGTGTATTTCTCCAGAATTGGGGTTGCCAAGAAGAGCAAGACTGCGACCACAGATCTCCACAGAAACATCTGCACAGATGTTCCCCTGCTCTCAGAGCACATCTGTTGACTGCACATCTTATAGATACAAACAGATACACACAGTAGCTGTCTGCTTTCCTCTGTTGCATGACCTCCAGACAGTAACTGGTGGAAACCAGTGCAGTTTTCATCTGCCAGAATCCACAGCCCTAGAGCTCGCAAGTGAGACGCATCACAATTCATTTGCTGAATTCTCCTATCAAATTTTCATGCGCATGGATTTTAGGGTCTAAGTAGGATTTGAACCTCACTGACCTTTGCAGATAGGCGGCTGGGCATCCCACCCATCCGGGGTGCAAGTGACCTGCTCCTGCCCCTGAAGTTCATAACCATGGCGACAGGAATACACCAGCACGCGCTTTCCAGAGTCCTCACAGTGCACAAAGTCCCCATTGTCCACCTTGTCGGGGAAGCTGCACCTGTCATCTACATAATAATGAGGTCAAAACAAAGCCAACTACAGGGGCTGGGGATTTAGCTCAGCGGCAAAAGCGCCTGCCTGGCAAGCGCAAGGTCGTGAGTTCGGTTCCCGGTACCGGAGAAAAACCAAAA